GTTTCCAAGCAAAAACATCAGAATTATTTCTAAGGAACGAGATGAGTTTGGACCGGTGAGGTTCTTGTAAATGGCTCCCAATACGCAGTGACTTCTGACGTGTCGGTTCGTCAACATAAACTATCTCCACGTCTTCTCCGGGTTCAGCTCGATCACTTCGCCTTTTTTCTTTAAACTGAGTCCTTGGGTCCAATTCGTCTTCTTCAAGGATTGGTTCTTTCTCGGGTCTTCTGCCTCGGTCTTCGGCCAGAGGATTCGAGGTTAAGGGGGCAGTGACTTCTTGACTTGGCTCGTCGGAAATTGTATTATCCGAAGTGGCCAAGGGCGAGGAATTTTCTTTCTGACCGGAGTGGCGGAATGGACCCTGGTGGACGGTATAAAAGTGATAAGTTCTCGAGCTTCCCTTTGATCTCCATAATGTGTGCCTTCACCATGTGTCATTGAGAATTTGAGTGCGTAATGAAAAATAGAAACCGAAGCTCGAAGTTTATACAGAGCGGTTCTTCCAGTGATTGCGTTGTACTCGTTGTTGATGTCAAGAACTTTAAAGGTCTCCATTACGAGTTTGGTAACGTGTTCGGGAGTACCAAATCGGACAGGCAGGGTGATTTCGCCGATGGGCTTCGAAATGCTTCCGTTAAATCCCTGTATTTGATCGTTGCAAGGCCGGATGTCGGCAGGATCAAGGCCCATCTTGTCAAAGGCTTTTAGCATCAAAATGCTTGAGTAGGCCCCAGTATCGACCATTACACGATGGACCGGGATGCCACATATCGGAACGGTAATGACAAGTGCGTCGGAATTAGGATGGGCGAAATGATTTGCGTCTTCCAAATTGAAAGTAATGGAGCAATTTCGGGCATTGAGAATGTCTCGTAGATCCGTGGTGAAAACATGCTTGTTCGAATTATAGGCTTGCCTAGCGTAGGTGTTGTGTACAAATTAATCTTTCTACCGAGTACCGAATCAAAAGATTCGTTCCCCGGGTCGATCTCACGAGGAAGGCTGTTTGGAATTTAGAAATGGTATCGATCACACACAAAAGAAAATAAAATCCTAAACACTCTAATCAGATAAGGGGGATGAATAATTAACAACTAAGAAATAAATAACAATGTAAAAATGTAAATCTACCTAAGAGTATGGATGAAACGAAGATGGAGAAGCTAGAGAA